TCTTGCATGCCCTTAACCAGGGCAGGGAGACTGCAACTGAGGTATGTGCCCTAAACAGGAATTGAACCCGGGACCCTTGAGTCCTCAGGCTGATGCTCTATCTCCTGAGCCAAACCAGCTAAGGATCACTTGTGTTTCTTGGCCTCACTGAGCACTTGCTATGAGGTCCATGCTCTGGGCACCTCTGGTATTCTAGTTCTAATTGTTGCACAGTATTCCATAGGCCGCTGACACCTAATTTTGCCCAATCCACTCCCTGAGTCACAGATGCCCAGATTGCCTCCAACTCATCACCACCACAACTTACTCTAAGTATCAGTTAAGTTCCTTGCACTGGATCCCTATGGACCTATATAAGGACTTCTTTATAAACTATCGCAGGATTAATGTTGTTGGGCCAGAGGATAGGCATGCACTTCATTTGACTAGTGCTGCCAATGGCTCTCCAGAAGGCTGAGCCAGGCTCTGGTCCCAGCAGCCACACAGGAGGGATGTTCTCCCTCCACGTTTCAAACCCCTCACTAGAACATGGTAGGAATCCTGTGTCCCCTCTGTGCTCACAGGAAGCTGGAGGCTGGCAGTCACCGTCTTCAGACGGTTCTCTCTCCATACACACCACTTCTGCCGGGCTGTGGCTTCATTATGCAGACACAGCACCTGCTAGTTCTCTACAAAAACTGGGGCACAGCACTCCTCTACCGTCTCAGTCTCTCTGGGTGCAGAAGGTAGTGAGGGCACTCCTTCCAGTCCTTCTCGCCCTCTGCCCAGCCCAGCTCAGAAGAGCGCTTTCTCTCCTGGCAGGGACATCTCACAGGATCTACCCTCCATCACTCTGAAGTAGGTCTACAAAACCCCGCCTTCAAACCTCCACTCCTCTGAAAATACAGGGAGTTTCTAGAATGCAAAAATCACATTTTAGTTCTTTGTCTATCCTAGCTCTCAGCGAATCTCAAATCCGGCTACATCTTAGAAGCGCATGAGAAGATTTTAAACATTGCTGGTTCTTGGCGTGCCCAAGAAGAATTAAACCAGACTCTCTCGGGGTGGGCTGGTGCTGGGACAAGGCTCCAGGGACTCAGCCAACTTGGACGTTAAAGCTCATTAGTGACCATTTATTTCCAGGTGATAACCTCTCCGTCTGCCAAAGGACATTGACCGATTTGGAATGACTGTCATAGTAGGGATATGTGGGGAGCTGCAGAGCAACACTATTAAAATATTTTAAATATTAAACATTGACTATATACAGTGTTTGCATCTGCATGTGAAGGGAATAGAGAAAGCTTAGGAAGTGGAAAATCAGCTATCCTTGGACGCCTCTGTGTGCTCCTCACATCGTAGCCCTCTTCCTTCCACCAGATATGATCCTTATCCTGATTTTTTGTCCATCATTTCATTGCTTTATTTACTGTTACTATGTTAATCTCCAAAAACCATAGTGTTGAGCTTTGTGGGCTTTCAATTTAATACATGGAATCACAGTGTATTTATATTTCAGTTACTTATTTTCAGTCATTAGCTTGTTTCGTGCATCATTGAGGACAATTTTCTCATTGTAGTTTTTCGTCTCTGTTGTTTGGAGGTTATGTCACACTCAAACCTGTCTTTTCATGGTTTACATAGATAATTTAACATGCGTACTTAACATATTCTAAATTTAATATATATCTTTATCCTCTTCCTAACCCAACCGAACTTTTTAAACTCCAATCCTTTTTCTCCTGATAAGATGGTTCTACTTTTTTAAACTCTCAAATTATCCATTACAATCATTCTGTAAGTCAATATGTATATTTTTAAAAGTTGACCTACAATATCTATGCTTATCATTCCTTCTAGCATCTCAGTTTTTCTATCCAGGATCATATTTCTTCTACCTGAAGTACTTCCTGGAATTCCCTTAGTCGTCAACTCTCAATTTTTTTTCTGAATATGTCTTTATTTTGCCCTTCTCCTTGAAAGATAATTTAATTAAGCAGTTTTGTTTTTTTTTCTTGGCACACTGAAAATATTATCCTATTCTCCTCTAGCTTCAATTGTTTCAACTAAGAAGTCAACCTGTAGTCTAATTGTTTCTTCTTTGTAGTAATCTGCTTTTTCTCTCTGGTTGGCAAAATGAGACATTGAATAGCTTTGTGCAGTTTCACGGTGATGTGTCTTCAATTAATTCTCCACCACTCACTCTCTAAATATTGCCTCTTCTCCATTCTCCTCTCCTCTCTGGGATTCAGAGTATACATGTGTCAGACCTTTCATTCTATCCTCCATGTCTCTTAATCTCCTGAGATTTAGATTAAACTTCTCTTATGTTACATTTGTATAAATGGCCCATGGATGTGTCATTCTTAGTCTTCACTGTGACTCTTCAACTCATGGTATCCCTTCTCACCTTTCACCTCATCACCACTCCTTACTGCTCACAGGGTCTACCTGGTCTTCCAGGCCCCCTTCCCACCCGCCTTTGTTGCCTCTGCAAAGCCTGTCCTGACTTCTGTTGGTCTTGTTAATTTTCTCTTTCTTGTTTTTCATAGAGCTTACTGTCCCCTGCATGCGATAACATGGTGTAGAGCAGAGAGCACTGGGCTTGGAGTTCCAGGAACTGAGTTCAAATTCTGGCTCCACCCTTCATAGCTCTGTGATCTTGGCTAAGTCACTTCTCTTGTTGAGCCTCACTGTTCTCAGCTATGAACTGATGACGGTAGAGTCATCAGGATGACTAATGGGATGAGGGCCACAGAGTGCCCAGGTGGTGCCCAGTGCTGGCTCTGGCATAAAGCATCTCCCATGACCCTTACTATGTCCTTTTGCCACTCTGTCTCTAAGTGAAGCCATTTCTGGCAGCCCAGTGGCCCGGGAACTGGATTTCAAGGCCACAGCTCCGGGAATGTAGCTGTGAAGTAATCCTCAGAGGAGGAAGCGCTCCCTCACTGGGTTGAGATCCTGGCTCATACGCCTCCAATTCATGGCCATTGAATCCATTTGCCACCCTTGGACATTCTCATATTCTTCCACCCGGGAAGCATCAGTCTCTCCCCATTGCCCTCAGCATGAAGCCTGTACTTCCGTTAATGGTAAGGAGAGTGCTTTGGGGCCTGACCCCTGCCCATCTCCATGCATCTTGCCGTTGCCCAGCTGCTGCTTCAGTGCTCCATCCAGCCGCACGGAGCCCTGCGCTGATTGCTTTTGCAAGCTGCCCTCCTTGCCATGCCTGTCTGTTTTAACCTTTCTGTTCTCAGTCTGTCTGTCACTTCCGTCCCTGGGCTCCAGAGCTGGCTGGGGACCTTCCCTAGATCAAGCACTGGGGCTAAGGCCTTACCCCATGCGACCTTGATCACCATGGTTACAGCAAGCTCCCTCCCAACCCCCTTTTTAAAAATTTACACCAACCTTTCTTTCTGTCTGGAGCTAGAGGTTTTGGGAGACAGGGACCGGTTCTCATCTGGTGCTGATGTCCAGGTGCCCAGCCTGGGGCCTGGCTCCTAGATTGTGCCTAATAAATACTTATTAAAGGGAGGGAAGAGAAATTGAACCATGACCTTCTATTTCATGGGTCAGTGCTCAACCCCTGAGCCATGCCGGCCGGGCTGAGCTGTGATTTTAGTCCATGCACTTGTTCTCTGCTCCAAACCAGTCCCTCTGCATCCCCAGCACTTGGGGTATAACGTCATGGTTTCGGGGTCCATTTGGGTCTCTGGAAACCAGAAGTGCAGGAGATTTACTGGAGGAAATGCCTGGGAAGACAAAGAGGACACAAGGCAGGAGAGGGTGGCAGAGTCCTCAGATAGGGTGCAGGTCTGACTCCTAGGAAGGGAGCGATGGAAGGAGGACCGTTGGGAGGAGAGCCTGGTACTGGAGAAAATCCCAGTCAGGCTGGTGGGAAGCCCGGAGCAAAGATTGCTCACTAGCGGAGACCCCGTTGGGTACAAATGGCAGCTGTGTACCCGTGTCTCAGTCACGGAACCCCTGTGCTCTGAGTCGGGGGTCTCAGTCTGGTATCCCCTGCGCTGGAAGCAGCTGGGGGCAGCATGCCTCAGCACGGGCCCTGAAGATGCGGCAGCTGGGGGCTGCCAGCTCCCCACGCTGCTCCCGGCAGCAGGGTCTGACTTGAAGGGAGGACTGGGCCGCATGCTCCCCTGGCCACAGGCTCTGTCCTTGAGCTGTCCACAGCCTGTTTACTAATATGCTGTAGAGTTTGGGCAGGATGTTCTGAAAGCCCCAACATGGGTTATCCCTGCAGCCTCCTGGGATAGAGCCATTTCCTGGAGGGTGAACAGGCTGTACCCTGAATCAAGGGACCCTGCCGAGGGGCGGGGATTGGGGGGGTGGGGATGGATGGGGGAGGGAGGCCAGCTGGGAGGAGGGACTGAAATACAGAAATGTGAGCTTTGCCATTTTGGCCCAGAGAGGCAGCCCTTTCTAATTCAACCAATCAGAGGGACTTATTTTTCTAACTTGCTGTTACACTGGGTAAAGCCAAATTGTGGAGGATTGCAGAATCGGAGAAAGTTTGTTCTTTGAGCTGAAGGGAAGCTTAATTATGTGCCTCTATTAAGAAATTGTTTGCCTACTGTCCACAGGTAGACTGAGGAAGTCTTTTACTTCTTAAGAGGAAATACTGTTTCCAGGTGCTCATTATAATGGGGGGGTGGTGCGCGGTAAGTGTGGGGGGAGTCATGAGTCCTCCAGTCTCATCATCAAAGGCTCTCCACAGGGCAGTGCTGCTGACTTGCATTTGTAATCGATGGATGCTACAATTCTGGGTCATTACTAATGCTCTGTAATGGATCCAAATGAGTGTGGCTTGATTTAGAGGGAAGTGTGCTAAGCCCAGGCCTGTGGGAACTCTGCCCCAGGCTGACAGCTGGCTGCTCTGGACCAAGATGGCCCCTCAGTGGCCCGAGGCAAGAGCTGGACAGCCCCAGCGGCCCCTCCCTGCCTTTGACACAGGCTGAGGGGCAGGAGGAACCTGCTGACTTTTCTTTTTTCCTTTTCTAAACCAGGAATCATTAGCCGAGAGGATGCAGAAGATCTCCTCGAGAACATGACCGAGGGAGCGTTTCTGGTCCGGGTCAGTGAGAAAATCTGGGGCTACACCCTCTCCTACCGCCGGCAGACGGGGTTCAAGCACTTCCTGGTGGATGCCTCCGGGGACTTCTACAGCTTCCTGGGAGTGGACCCCAATCGCCATGCCACGCTCACCGATCTCATTGATTTCCACAAGGTAGTGCTCTTAGCGGAGCTGATCAGGGCATAAAGCTGGTAGAAACTTGAGCTGCAGGGAGAGCCAGGCTGTAGGCCTTCTATGAGCTGGGGATGGAGAGTGAGCAGATGGGGCCACAGGGATATGGAACTTGGAGTAGACGAGACCAGAAGTTGTCCAGACCAGGCAATGCAGGTCTTCTCTCTGGTTTACCCTCTGACCCATGTAGGCGCCTCAGGAGGGTCTCCAGCCCTTCTCTTACCTTGAGTACCTGAGTGCTCCCTACTGTCAACATGCAAGGGCTGGTTGGCCAGCCTTCTGTCCAAGACCAGTTCTCATCCCCGACTCATCTCCAGGATGTCCCTCTTGGGGACATTCTAGAAAGGCCTCTTGCAGTTTTGTAGAGTTAGCAGAAGCCTAACAAGCAACCCCATGGTTAGAGAAGCTTTCCTTGTAGAGTTACCATATCTCTTGTTCCAACTACAGCTTTACCATGGAGTATGTGTGTGACCTTGGGCAGCTTCCTTAGTCTCTCTGAGCTTTAGTTTCCTGCCTGGGCCAATGGATGTGATAATACTTAGCCCAGATCCTCTGAGCATTAAGTGAGGGATGTACGAGTATGTACCAGGACTCTAACTAAGTGATAGGGAGTCTCGTTCCCCAGAGCTCTTTCTGCTGAGGACCTCACATTGAGAAAGATGTTGCCTTCTAAATAAGATATGTAGAAAGAAGCAATTTCTGTGTTATTGTGGCTACTGGCATCAATAGTAACTGAAAGGAAGACAAAGGTGGAATATGGTGACTTGGAAGGGCAGGACCCAGGGATTCTGAGACAGAGCTGTGGTACCTCAGGGGTCCACCCTCTACCTGAGCTTTGCAGGTATAGCAAGTCCTGCAGAGCTACGTGACTGCCTCACTGGGCTTTTCTATAATAGTGACTCTTGGATTTGTGTTGCTTTTTCTTTATGGATGTCCCCAAGCTCTAGGGACAACTCTTAACCTGATCTTATCTGTAAAGCACATAGAAAATCACTCCTTTCCCAATACCTAGACACTTGGAGGAGAGTACTGCCTGGAAGCTAGGCTAACCCAGATCAAGGCAGAGCTCTACTTGTGTTGGGAAGAGCCTTCTAATAACTGTAGGATACGGAGAGGGAGGGGATGTGAGAATGTTGGCACCTTGTCTGTGTCAGGCGCTGTGCTTGTTGCTCTAAGTACATGTTCTCATTTAATCTTCACCATAGCTCTGTGTGGGAGGCACATCAGTCCCATTCCACAGATCTGGAAAGGGAGCTTGAGAAGCTTGTCTAAGTTTTCATGGCTGATACAGCTGGGTCTAGGAGTTAAGCCTCAGGCTGTGTATCTCTCAAGCTTGTGCTTTCCCCACTAAACCACATTGCTTGCTTTTCCTGTCCAAGATAAGCTGCTTTGAGCAGTGATGAGCTCTGTGTCCTGGGAAGTAATCAAGCAGAGGGTAAATGCTCATCTCTCAGAGATGCTGTGGACAGGTTCCTGAATAGGAAGGCTAACCCGGGTGTCTTTGAAGGTGTTTATTCTCTCCCAAATCTAAGGTTTGAGACTGACAAATATTAGTTTCTAACACTGAAGAGAGAGCTCATCTAGGCCCATGTGGAGATCTGGTGGCCAGTTTTACAAGTTAAAATTTTAATTATACAATTAATTTATGATTACATTCTAAGAAATATCAAATATAATACCAACTGTAAATGTTGTTCATTTCAAATCTGAGTTTCTATCCTCCACTATGTACCTATCCAAGTATTTCCTGGGCATTAATACAGAAATCCTATCTAATAAAAGACAAGTAGGCTAATTAACAGTACCTCCGACACGCTTCCCACTGGCTAATCAGGGAAATATGCAAATTAACTGCCAACCAAGATGGTGGCTGGCAGCCAGGCAGCTGAAGCGAACAGGAGGCTTGCTTGCTCCAGTGATGGAAGAAGCCAAGATTCCCCGACTGCGCAGCTGGGCTCTGAGCTGCACTCTAAGCAACAATGTTGTAATTATAGAAGCTAAACAAATCCCAGATACCTGCTTTCAGCCAGTAGAGGCCTCAGAGGTAGAGCTGCAACAGTGTTGCAATTATAGAAGCTAAACAAACCTCAGATACCTGCTTTCAGCAGCGGAGGCCTCAGAGCTGGAGCCAGCTCTCAGCTCCAGTGACAGCTA